CTTCTTAAAAACTTCCAGTGTTGGAGCATTCACCGCTTCTGGAGGCAGGTTGTTCCACTGGTTAATTGTTCTAACTGTCAGGAAGTTTCTCCTTAGTTCTAAGTTGCTTCTCTCCTTGATCAGTTTCCATCCGTTGCTTCTCGTCCTGCCTTCAGGCGCCTTGGAGAATAGCTTGACTCCCTCTTCTTTGTGGCAGCCCAAATGGTCTCTAATGGTTGTAAGTTGAGGACTACTTGTAGATAAAGCAATCATCTCTAGGCAAAGTGAAGGTTGAGCAACTACCTGGTTAAAGATCTGTCTAACCAGATGGTTCTTGTTTTTTTTTAAATTGATCATCCTTTTCCAAAATCTATTAAAAACAGCCAGTTTCTCCTAGCCTTGAAGCCACATTGATTAGGAAAAAAATATATTTATAGGTTTTCATTTTTAATATGCAGGATTGCTTTAACTCCAGCAGCAACCAATAAAGAAATCCATTATAAAGAATTCTATTATTTCTGGTTTAGTTTTCCAGCCTATTTTGGATCGACTGCATTTACCAAGTTGTTTCTGCTATTGCCAAAGATCACTAGATGGCGCCAGATTTCCACAAATTGCAAAACCTGAGGTGGCAGGAGACCATTTCAAGTTTTAATGTCCTATTTCTTTCCATAAACGGAACATTATCAGCTCTGCTTTACACTATTTTGTTATGCTATTAAAACATTTTGACTATTACTTCCAGAAAAACAGAATTAATTAAGATAGGGACTTCACGTTCCCTATCTTAAGTTCCAGCAATGACTCTAACAAAGAATGTGGATTCAAGCGTAAAGTCTATTTTTTTTAATAAGGATATGAACAGCCTAACCAAATACCTGCAAATGTGTATCATTTGTGCTAAATTTTAAGCACAGAAAAAAATGTTTCTTGCTTTGTTTGTTTCTCCACCCCCCAAAAAAAGAATTGTTATATAGAGCTTCATTACATACCCTTTTGAATCATAAATCCTGGCAATCATCCTAACAAATATGTATATTATATCAATGTATAACTTTTAAGACACATGCTGTTCTCCTTTTCTGCTGATTCCTGCTGTTTTTTTTCTCTTTTTCCCACGAAATCCTTATTTGGAGAAGAGCGTCACATCTCAACCAGGTTACTACCTCTGTGAAACTATGCTTGGCAATATTTACTGTGAATAGAGGTTTGTCTGAGTCTGCTACCATAATGAAATTCATTCATTCGTTCATCCATCCATCCATTCAGGCACGCATCTTATTTCAAATGTCTATGGAGATTCTCACTCATCCAGCTTATGGATATTCCAAATGTACTTTTTCTAAAAGGTAACTGGACTTTCTTGTTTTTTTCCCCTTGAAAACGTTTCTCTTTGAAATTTTTTCAAGGAAAAAAACCCAAGAAAGTCCAGTTGCTTTTTGGAAAAAGAACCTTCGGGACGATCTTGTTTCAAAGCGACTGTGAGCGGCTTACAGCATAAAAACATTAAAATCATCAAAACTACATATTCCTAACCCTTAATGAAACATATGGTGGAAGCTAAGGAACTGCAGTTTATGTTTAAGTTGGAAGGAGGAAAATAAGAGGTATGAAAGCTATCAAGGAGACATAAACCCGATTTTTGTTAGATCCTTCTGTTTATTCCTATTTCTGCAGGTATGTTTCTGGCTTGCCATCAAGAACAGAGCAGCTAAAGGCAGGTTTCATGTGCTTTTAGATAATGTTCTTGAGGCTGACAACTTTTTGTTTTATCACTGAAATCTTGCAAGGCTTCAGTTGTTCTCACATGAGATCATGAGAAATTCCTAAGATCTACACACAACGATGCAAAAACATAGAAACGAGATTGCTGAAATCATAAAAAGATCCCAGAATCTCATGAGATTCTAACAATATTGATCATTTTGTTTCATTTCATTTCATTTTAATGCTTGGACCATTGTGCAAAATCAGTTAAGAGTACACATACTGCTTACAAAGGTGAGCAAGTCTCACTGTACTCAGTTTTTTTCCTGCTTTGGTTCAACATCAGTTGAACCAAAGCAAAGAGTTAACAGGATTTTCACTCTCTTTCAGTGCTCCATCTTAACACAAAAATAAGAGAACAGTATAGTTGCTATATTCTGTTATCCTGAACAGGGAAACTGATGAATGGATCAAATACAAGGTAGATTTCTATGACGGACAGAAAATACTATCATCTTTAAAGCAAAGAGTTAACAGGATTTAAAAAACTGACTGCTGTTACTCACTGACATTGGTAGAGAATGAGCAGAGAAAAGGATCACAGCGTCTTTTCTTTTATCCGGTGGAAATAAGTCTAGTTCTTTCTTTATGTGGTCTGCAAAACACTGAAAAGCAAACATAAAAAAAAATTAAGAATTTAAGAGCATTAAATACAGGTAGTCTTCGACTTACGACGGTCACTTAGCAAATGCTTGAAATTACAATAAGTACAGGGCTACTTAGGATCCAGTTCCAAAGTTGCAACAGCTCTCCCCCCCCCCATGGTCATGTGACTGCATTTCAGGTGCTCAGTAACTGGCCCAAATTTATGGCCACTTGTAATGTCCTGTGACAATGTCACTTAACAATCACATGATTCGTACTCACGACTGCCATAAAAACAGTCTAAAAATCAGGCCTGCTTCACGTGGGTTCCTTGACCGTAATGACTTATGACCCAAATTCCCGTCCCAATTGTGGCGATAAGTCGAGAACTACCAGTTAAGGGCTCAGATAAAATGAAGGGCATCCAGACGCGCCTACCAGTATAGAAACCCCTTCTGGGGAGCAGTGGGAGGTGAGGAAACTGAGGAAGACATGACAACAGTTGTGATAAATCTGAAATATCTTTGCGTAAAATATCTTTCTCTATACCTGAATCAGGAGAGGATGCGTTGGCCACCTGTCAATTGTACTCCACTTCATCTTTGGTTTTTCTCCTTTTTGGTGATAGTAGCGATATATTGCATTCAAACTGCTTCCTGAAGAATGCAAAATAATGAACTCGGAAACCCACGAGCAGATCACCTCCTCCCCTTCCTATAAGTCTTTCTTTCAACTCTCTGACCCCAAGTCCTCTGCAAATTATGCTGCAGCCATTAGCAAACCCAAGCCCCAACCAATAACTCGCTAACATGTTTTGAGGTGGGACAAAGATAAAAACGAGAGTGTAAGCCCTAAAACGGGCTACACCCTTAAAAAAAAAAAGAGCAAAACTGCTTCCAAGTTGCAAGAAAATGGAAAATGCTGACTTGTCTCATGACCACTACTTATAGTTTCTTAAGCTTGGCAACTTTAAGTCGTGTCAACTTCAACTTCCAGAATTTGTCAGCTGGGGAATTCTGGCAGTTGAAGTTCACCTGTCTTAAAGTTGCCAAGTTTGAGAACAGTGCCCTAATTTATCATCCCCAAAGTAGACAAGCAAGCTGAATCCATTTCTGCCCTCTATCTGATGACATAATTATGCCGTCTTTGGCCCAAGTTCTTAAGCATCCTTGATTTTGACCCAACCCCTCCTTTTGGAACTTAGCAAATGATCTTATTCTGCAATTGAACTCACCTGTTGTAGAGCAGCTATACTGTGGATACTGCGTGAAAGCAATGGCTCTTTCAATACCGTCTTTTTCCATCTCTTCAATTGCTTCTTCCGTCAGAGGATGAACGTAGCGAAAGCCGATATAATACTTGTGTGGCGCTGAAAGCAAAGGAGAATGAGTGGCTCTCTATCAGTCTATGGAACAAAGCTTTTTCTTGGAGGTATATCGACTAAGGCCATTTCCCTCAATCTACACCACTGTTTCTCAATCTTGGCAACTTTGTGGACTTCAGAACTGAAGAAACCTCTTGGGTGAGAAGCAAAATGCTTTCAAGGAAGGAAAAAATCAAGAAAGTTGCCTTTTGAGAAAGCACCGTTGGGACAACCAGGACCTGGTTGATTGAGAATCTCCACAGATATTTGTGGACTTCAATTCCCAGAATTCCCCAGCTATCGTCAGTTTAGAAACATTGATCCACACCCTCCAGCTATTTGCGACTGCTACTACCTGAGACTATTACCTGTCCTACCAAATTGGATAGATAGGGTAAGCATGCTCCAGTTCCCTTCCCTGAAATCTTGCACACCTTTCCCGTGCACGTGCCCACACTGCCAGAAGGCCATCAAGACCTGGGTTTTTATCCAGGCACTGAGGTAAAGTGAGGATGACTGGAATTGGTTATGGGGTATCCAAGGTGATAACTGAGGCACAAGGTTATGTTTGGTTTTAGGTTTTATTATTTTTTATGATTGTGGGTGTTGTTGTGAGCAGTCCACAGCTGTGCTTTAGGATGGACAACTACGCAAGTCTTTAAATAATTAAAACTCCAAAACATCTGGAGAGGTGGAAAAAAATTGCTCAGAAGAGCAACAACTCAGTTGTACATTCTGGAGATCAGATGAAATGAGTCTACTAGCAAATAGGATCATAAGAAGCTGCTTTAGGGTCATCTTCTTTGTACAATATGTGGGCCAGCCCTACTGTTAGGTAGAATGAGATGGTAGCCTCAGGCAGGAGACCTAGGGGAAAAAAGCACTGGGGACACTGTTGTGTGTTTGTGAGAGACAAGACTGGTTCTGCACTCCTTAAATTAGTCTGTGCTCTCCAGGACAAAGGAAGTATGGGTGCTGTCACCCATACTAAAATAAAATTCCAAGGATGCTATCTGGTCCTGCAAGGACTTTGAACCAAAACTGCTTTATGTCTACCGAGATTCTTATCATCCAGTTTTCTCAAAGGTGCTTTTTTTCAAAAAGCAATTGGACTGTTTTTTCCTTGAGGAGAAAGAAGAAGTGGTCTGAACAGCTCTCAGTGGCCTCAACCCTAAGTGGCCTCAATGGCTCTCAGAGAGAGTACTAACAAACAGATGACTGCAAAGAAATACAGTCCTTCCACCACCACCATTGGGGGGAAAAAAGCACCTTTGAGACAAAACCCGCTTTAGCATCAGCCCTTTTCAAAACAGATTTATTTTCTTCCCGTCAGGTAGAGCTGGCAGAAAATGGATCCAGCATCAACGACTAGAAAGATTTTCTAGAAAGTTCCTCACAGGCTGCTGTCAATGTTGAGGTTGATGAAGCTGTTCGATCTGGTTTAAGGTAATTTATGGGCTAAAGGACTGTCCAAGCTTTCTCTTCTGCAAGAACAATAGTTTTGGTTTCATTCCTTCTGGAGCATTGATTCTCAACCTTTAAAACTTTTAAGATGTGTGGACTTCAGCTCCCAGAATTCCCCAGTCAGGGCGCTGGTTGGCAAATTCTGGGAGTTGAGGCCTGCAGGTCTTAAAGTTGCCAAGATTGAGAAACACCACTGCAGAGGATTACACTAGAAAGTACTGGAGAGATCTCAAAAGAGGATTAGAAAAGGACCTAAAGGAAAAGCCTATTATTTGCACATCACATTTAACCCGATTACTAAATTAAGTTATTTTCTGGGGTTTAAACAATGCATTGAGTTATCAACTAACCAATGGGCTGGATTACGGTAATATATGAAAGCCACAGTAGACAAAACCCTACCTCAGTTAAAACTGAACAGATTTAACTCATTTTGCAAATGCAGCTATTGTGCTATATATTTCAGGGATTAAGCTTAACATGCTACCAGCCACAATGCCCATACATGATGCTGCTGTTGCAGTGCCTTGGGCTGCCTTCAAGATCTGAGACAGGGTGACTGTTGGTGGTCTATGTTGGAAGATATGTGTCATGCCTCTGTCCGAGCCTGACTCTGAGGACGACATGGAGTTCCCTGTTGAGGCCTGTCTGTGGCTTCGGAGGACTGTGGGGAGGAACAGGCTGAAGCAGGCCAGGGCCCTTCAAATTTGGAACAGGGAAGGTACAGCTCAGGCGAGGAGCAAGGCCCCTCCCCACCAGATCCCAGAGCAAGGAGAGCAGAGAGGAGGAGGGAACAACGGAGGCAGGCTCACTTGCTCGGGAGGAAAGCGTCACGGCCCACTCCACAAGGCACACCTGGGGAGTAGGTATTTAAGGAGACGCTGTGGGGTGGGGCATTTGCCGGGAACAAACGTGAACTCTTGTAATGTGAGCTCTTGTACCTGGACTCTTTGTATTTTGGATCAAGTTTGTTCTCCTTGCTGTCCTCAGTTTTGCAGTTTGCAGGCAAGCTGGGCGTGGAAAAGATCATACTTTGTTATCTGTTTACTTTAAAGAACTGTTTAACTCCGTTGACTGTTTTATTGAACTTGTGCCAGCATATGTGGGGACTGTTGGGTGAACGTTGGCAGTGCTTACAAAAACAATTATTCTGACCAGCTAAGTGCTGTGCCTCCATTCGGGGCCCTGGGTCATCACAATATGAAGAGGCAGATGCTATTTCCTACTATCTCATTTACAGCTTTTCTAAGGCCATCTGGCTGGCCATTCCTGGACATGGAAACCTGGAGAAGATAGATGCATCATTCTTTACAGCAGTATAAAATGGGCTACATCCTAAAAAAAAGAGCCAAAATGCTTCCAAGCTATAAGAAAAAGGGAAATGCTGACTTGTCTCATGACCGCTATTTATAGTGTTCCTCAACCTTGGCAACTTTAAGACATGTGGACTTCAACTCTGAGAATTCCCCCAGCCAGCATGCCAGCTGGGTAATTCTGGGGGTTGAAGTCCACACTTCTGAAAGTTGCCAAGGTTGGGGAATATTGCTCTAGAAGCCAGGAATCAATTAATGAAGGTGGTAAAAACTCTAATTCTAGAAGTGTGTGGCCCATTTTCTACAGGAGGAAAAGATAAGAAATTGACACTGAAGACACTCTAAGCAGAATGAAGTTTTTCTGTGCTCAGTTCTCCTACTACAAGGGGTAGGCAACCTTGGTTCTTTTATTGACTCGTGGACTTCAACTCCCAGAATTCCTGAGCCAGCCATGCTGAGGGGAAAGGGAGAGGTTTCCAAGCTGAATCATGCTGGCTCAGGAATTCTGGGAGTTGAAGTCCACGAGTCATAAAAGAACCAAGGTTGCCTATCCCTATCCTACTAAAATCAATGGGCTTTAACTGCTAGAAGCTGCTTTGAGTCAGTCTTGACTCCTGGTGACTGCCTGGACTAGTAGTTTTCTTGACCCTTTTTTAAAATCAGAAATGGTTTGCCATTGCCTGCTTTCTAAGTCTCAGAGTGAGTGAGAAGCATAAGGTCACCCCACTGGCTTGGTCCCAAAGGCAGGACTAGAACTCACAGTCTCCCAGTTTGTAGCCTGATGCCTTAATCGCTACACCAAACTCATTCATTCATTCATTCACTCACTCACTCACCATGTTAAGTAAAATTTAACATGAATGGGAAATCAAGAAATCTTAGTTCATGAGCTAAACTGGTTGATTTTTTTTTAAAAGAAAAATTATAGATGAAGCCAATGCAAGCCACCTCCAGTTGGTTTTCAAGAACACTATAAGGACGTGTGTCTATAGTCTCCAGCAGTTAAGCTTAACTTGAGTAATTTACCTTTTTAAAATCCTTGGCACAATTGCCATCCAGAGCTTTAAACTTTCCATTCCCACCTTTTCCTACAGAAGGAAAAATGGCGGAATTACGCATTTCTGTTTGGAAGAGCTATATGTGCATTTTACCCCGGTGAAAAATATAATAATATAAAAGCTTCCAGCAATTATAAAATGCAGCTAATAAGATAATGCATTTTTAAAAAATTCAGTGCAATGGGCAGCCCTCAACTCAAATAAGAAAATCACAAACCCTGCCTTGATCTAAGCAGTGCTTCTCCTCACTGTCTTGAAAATTTCCTCTACAAAAGATATTAGCATGCTTGCGATGGTAGAATTAAAAAAAAATCCGTGACATAATTGGAGCCTGCATTAAGATGCAAGAGACGTTCAGACAGATAAAGTCAGGGTGGCTTTCAGTTGGGAAACCACACCGTGAAATAAGAAGGAGTGAGAAGGTCTGACAAGCGCAGATAATACTTCCTAAACCATTAACTTGCTGCTCTGGAGTCCCAACCCTTTTAACTGTCTAATTTGCCTGTTGAAGAATGTGGAGTCCTTGGTGCTCTCTGAGCTTGGTTGCTGAAGGATGCTCTGAAAATGTTCCTGATGTTCTTTCAATTTACCACCCTGCATCCCAAAATTAGGATTGCCCACTTACAAGCTCACACGCTCATTCATCGGCCCTTGCTTGATGTTGCCACAAAGGAACAACATGCTATGAGTCCAAGTTACTCAAGGAACTGTCTCACCCTAATGCAGTGTTTCTCAACCTTGACAATTTTAAGGCATGTGGACTTCAACTCCCAGAATTCCACAGCCAGCAATGCTGTGGAACAACATGGCATGAGTTCCAATGCTGTGGAACAACATGGCTATGGAACAACATGGCATGAGTCCAAGTTACTTAAGGAACTGTCTCACCCTAATGCATTGTTTCTCAACCTTGACAATTTTAAGGCATGTGGACTTCAACTCCCAGAATTCCACAGCCAGCAATGCTGTGGAACAACATGGCATGAGTTCCAATGCTGTGGAACAACATGGCTGTGGAACAACATGGCATGAGTCCAAGTTACTTAAGGAACTGTCTCACCCTAATGCATTGTTTCTCAACCTTGACAATTTTAAGGCATGTGGACTTCAACTCCCAGAATTCCACAGCCAGCAATGCTGGCTGTGGAATTTTGGGGGTTGAAGTCCACATGCCTTAAAATTGTCAAGGTTGAGAAACACTGCCCTAATGGGATTGGCCTGCTCCACTTGCGCTGAGGTCCGGTCAGCTAAGGAATTTGAACTGGTGGGATCCAGGAGAAAAGGCTTTTCTGCCATAGCTCCTGCCCTCTGGAACATCGTATCCCCTCAAGGTGGGATCCACTTCTCCCCTTAGCCTTCTGAAAGGGCCTTAAAACCAGCTCTGCTGATTGGCCTGGGGACCGGATGGGGTGTGTGCTATTCTGGAGGTGTTTATTGGATTAAATAGAAGATCCCACCTCCATCTGTTGTATACTCCTGCCATCTTAGCTAATTCTTAATCTAATCTTATACTTACTGTTTTAATCTTTTGTAATGCTGTTTTTAATAAATTATAAGCTGCCAAGAATCTCCTGACTGCATTGGATGGCATATAAATTTAAAATAATAAAGGAACTCAATTATAATTATTAGTATTGGTTGCACAGTCAGATTATTATTAATCATATCTATATGGCCGCCCATCTCACAAGAAATTACTCTGGACAGCGTACAACAAGCAATAAGCACCACAGTTATGTAAAAATGTTCATTATGAAAATATAAAAAGTCATTATAAAAAAGGGAAAAAAGCCACTATAAAAAATTAAAATATACAAACCCAGAGAGCAAAAGCGAGAGAGAGAGTGAAAAAATCAACCCCAAGGAAGCCATCTCTGGTTCCCTGTCTACTTGCACAGATAGTGAGAGGGCTGAAAGAAAATTCATGTACTCCCATAGAGTCCTCAACTTACAACCATTCATTTAGCAACCGTTCAAAGTTACAACGGCACTGAAAAAGTGACTTATGACTGCCATGTTTGTCCGGATGCTTATAGTTGTTCAAATGATGATCTTAGCCGAACAGTAACTTACTAACCTATGAAATCTATTTCAGCATATGAGAGAATGAGGGAACCATTTGTTAGAGGGTCATTCCAGGATAAACTTTCCCCAGACATGGGAAGACAGAGCCAATTCTCCCTCAAACAACAGCATTGACCTGATGGATTGCACCACACACAGTCTTCATGTCTGAATCAGCTCTAGCTTGTCATCTCCCAAACTGGGTATTTGTATGGGTTACTTGTACAGAGTAGCTTGGAGCTGTTCCTTCTTATCAACTGGTCCATATTCAAGGGAGGAACTGACCAGCTGTTGGGTGTAGCCAATGGCGCTTTCTTTGTTTAACTATACAGGGTGTGTATATGTTTGTGTGTGTAAACCACAGTCAAATGGGAACCTTGTTAATCACAGAGAGGCCTAGTCAGGCATCAACATTCCTAATGAGAACCTCCTCACATTTTAAAGAAGAGATGTCTTAAACTTGTCTTTTTTCAGAAAACATTTTGAGGGAAATACTTCGGATATTTTTTTTAATCACACTTTCCTCGGGAAAGCTGTCCTTTCTGCAAGATCTTACTTAGTTCTCTCAAGATAATGATTATTTCTCACTGCACCTACACTTGGAGCATCCTGGGGTGTGTGAAGTAACCACTAGGCCACCAACAGAGCTCTCATTTGCACAGGTGAGAGGAAAGAAGAAAAGGAAATGGACCTCTTTACAAATAGCTGGAACGTGTTCTTCCTTATGGAAAAATTAAAATTTTTATCTCCCTGTCCACATATTGGTTGGATTATTCTGAAGGATGGTATAACTCTAAGAACACACAAGGTTTTTGATTAGTACAGATCTCTTATGAAGGATATTGAGCAGGGAATGGGAAGGATGGTATTTACCAATATGTTGCAAATCATTTTACACTAAATTTTCAGGAAGCCACACTTTTTACAGTGTTTCCGCAAACAGCTCTTGCTGCTGGAAAACTAAATTAGGGATTTGTCAGCCATGTCTTTGCAGGGGACAGGACGATGAAAGCAGCAAGCCTTATTTATTTTGGGCATGTATCATGGAGTTTGTGATACAAGTGTGACGCTTTCATTAAAATGACAAAAGCACCCAGAGCCTCAGGGAATTTAACCAACTAGTTTAGTTCAGGGCTTTTCAACCAGTGGTACAGGTACCATCTGTGGTACATTGGCACCTGGCAGGTGGTACGCGACCATCCTAGAAAAGTGGTAGCGGGGGAGGGGAATGAGAGCGCCGCCAGGCGGGCAGGCAGGTATCTTGCTTGGCTGTGCCTTGGGGGGCACTTTTTTCAGTGCCATTGTAACTTCAAACAGTCACTAAGCGAACTGTTGTAAGTCGAGGACTACCTGTACTTTATCACTTTTTTCCCTTTTTTTTGGTCATCAAGTTTTTGACACCTTGCTAGGCGACTGGTGGTACTCAGATATTGCCATATCCTAAAAATGGTACAATGGGTGAAAAGGTTGAAAAGCCCTGGTTTAGTTGATCTCAAGAAAATGCTAGAAACTTTATATTACAAGAGTAAATGCAGGTATACCTTTTTAAATACTTCAAAAATCTCCCTCTCTTTTTTGGTTATACGTAAACTGCTTCAGGATTTAGATGACTGATAGACAGGCAGACAGAAATAGAAAATAGATAAATGACAGACAAGAGATAGACAGACAGACAGACAATAAAATAACCTTCACTGGAGCAAAGATAAAGCCACACTTGAGTTTGATTGTGTGACTCTAACAAGATTGCTGGGGTTACATGAAGAAAATGTGAGAAAAGTGACTTGCTCTTCTAGGTAAGAGCTCCCATATGAGAAGATAAGAGATCTCCCAAATCCAATTTAACTGTAAATAAATCAATAAATAATTTGAAGGCTAGGGACTAAACCTTCCAATTCAACTCCAACCTAATGTAATTTTAAAAGCAACTCTACATTATTACACTTCACTGAAGGGTATCCAACTGCTATTCAGATTTCTGAACATGTTTCCCCAAAGCAGCAGCTTCAACAAGAAAAATAAAAATCTGAATTACCAGACTGCGGGGACATTTCATTCAGCAACTTCACCATGCCTTCCCCCTGAGTCTCGGTCCATTTCTTGATAGGTGATCCACCCCCAATCCGCCTGTATTGTTCTTGGATTTTTGGAGTACGCCGCTTTGCAATAAAAGGTCCTAATTTACTGAAATACATAAAAATGGATATTGCTAATAACCATACATTTTACATTCTTCCCCCTTGATAGGTTAAAAATAAAATTTAATTGCTAAACACACAGGCCCACTTAGTGTGCTAATATAGTATCCCTGTGCTACAGCAGAGTTCTGCCCATAAAGTCTCTGAAGAATCATTTTAAACCTAAGTCCATTTGCATATTATAATAATTATTTCCTGTGGCAATACCTTTAGCACTATCAATAATAATTGCCTATCTCAGGTGTTTGGGAAGGACTGGATAGCTGGATAAAAATGCCACATCCAATCTAAACATCTGGCTGACTATGCAACTAACCATAATAGGACTTACAAAAAAACCTCTCCCTACTTGGAACTGCACATATTCTTAGATGTTCCCTTAATAATTCTTAGGTCCTTGGTTAGGATTTAATTTATTAAGTTTCCACCAGTCTTAGAGTGTCAATCTAACTGTACATTACCCACACAAAATTAGGTTACTAATATTAATTAGGTTACAGCAGGTTAAAAATATTGTGGGATTTCCAAATACAAACTGATAAAGTCTTGGCTCATAATACACCAGATTTAAATATGGTTGAAAAAGAAAGTGTGGATAATTGATGTAGCAATACTAGGAAAGAAAAGAATAGAGGAGAAAGAATTGGAGAAGATCACAAAGTATCAAGACCTGAAAATTGAAATCAAAAGATTATAGCATAAACAAGGACCTTGGCTCTTTTATAACTTGTGGACTTCAACTCCCAGAATTCCTCAGCCAGCAAAGTTAGCTGAGGAATTCTGGGAGTTGAAGTCCACAAGTCATAAAAGAGCCAAGGTTGCCTACTCCTGGCATAAACCAACCGTGATGGTCCCATGGTTATTGGCACACTTGTGGCATACCAAAAAATCTTGGACAGCACTTAGAAAATCTATGCATTGTGCATTCCATCTGTCAATTACAAGGCCACAGAGCTTGGATCCACACATATACTATACCAATACATTACAACATCTTAGGTTCTTAGGAAGGTCCTTTGTGTGTGTAGGTTAACACCACATAGAGAACTGGCAGCTGTGATTTCACATGTTTATGTATATAATAACAATACAGACAAAAATGCCAAATCCAATCTAAGCATCTGAATGACTGTGTGACCAAACAAAAATAATAAGATGTGGTAATTCCTCACTATTTTGCATCTGGGTATTGTCCAGAAACTGTAGCTCTTTCATATTGCAAGGACTGACATAACCTGGCTTCTACTACATTTATATTAATGTGTAATACATGATTAAGAAACTGAAAGCAGGTAATCACAAATAGGTAGAACTGGATAAAGAAAAAAAATGTACATATGAACATTCATACATTTTTTAAAATGTAAATACATTCTTCCTTTTCCCTCTTGCTGGTCTCAAGATATTTTGCTAATCCCCAAATTACAGATAATGGCAAAGAATTCTGCAAGCCTCAGGGTTGAAAAGAATGACCCACTAAATCATCCTGCTAGCTTAGATCCTGAAGTAGCTAAAATGCACTCTACATGCATGAGAAGGCTTGGAAGAACCCAAGAAGCTACAGAAATGCAAAGAAAAAGTCTTTTAGAGAAACAGATTAATAGCACTCATTTTGTTCAATTAAGCAAGTTCTTAAGCCTCCCTCAAGAAATTCAGCAGGATAACCAGTAGCAGGAGGATTCTCTTACTTTTGCACTGGAAGTGTCATTAGATCTCTATCAAGAAAAAGTCTTTGCAGGAATTCATGGACATCTTCAAGGGTCTCTGGACCTCCCATATTTAACATTAAGATCCCTGTTTTAGGTTTCCTGTGGAGAAAAACAAAGGAGAATAAAATGCTTTTCATACACCATTTATACATTTTAAATTATAATTATAACTTTATATATAAGTTATATATAATTTATAATTTATAAATTAAAGTCAGATTCTACTTTTAGTAACTGTAGAGCTGCATTTCTCAACCTCAGTGACTTCAAGACATGTGAATGGACTACAACTCCCAGAATTCCACACCCAGACTCATCCTAAAGCCATTGAGGTTGAGAAACACTACTGTAGAGTCACATTCCTATAAAGTGGGTTTCTAATTACCTTTTTCCAGAACTTTCCCCCTAAAGGCCTTATTTATTTGTTTCTTTATTAAATTTAGATGCCACCCTCTCACCATCAAGCCACTCTGGGCAGCTTACAACATCATAAAATAACAGTATAAAACAATTAGAATGTTAAAAGTATTAAAACATCAAGCATTACAAGTGAAAACATTAAATAACCTTATATAAATAAATAATAATAATAACTGAAGCTGGTCCACCTTTTTTTGTGGTCAGCCAGTCAAGCTAGATGATAATAATAATAATAATAATAATTTAATTTATATACCGCCCTTCTCCCATAGGACTCAGGGCGGTTCACAGCATAATTAAAAACAGATACTATACACAAATACAAAAATACAAAAACACAAAAATATAAACCCCAATAAAAACCGAATTAAAAACCAAATATTGACGGCTGTGTTTCCAATTAAAATTACTGTTAAAAT